GGTGCCTGTGGACTTTTTGAGTTGGCTGGGTATGTGGGGGGGGGGAACGTGCAGATCTGTCCCAGCAGAGGAGGGAGAGCTTGTACCTGAATAAAACTTGGTCTTTAAGGTGCCACCAGACTGTTCTGGATTGCTCGCTATTTGGGGGGGGGGGGAGCAACCCGGGTCAGGCTCATTCCCCAGCCTGAGCAGCAGAGATACGTGGCGGCCACTGCTCCTTGAGAGAGACGCACTTCACTTCTTCCCCAGTCTCCACGGCCCTCCTTTAGCGCCTTGCTCTGTGGACGCTACACGCTCCCAACAGCGCAGTGTCTCTCGCTCCTACGCCGGCCTCCAGCTTCTCTGCTGGCTAGTTTTCCAGCCACCCCACTGCGGTTACCTGGGGTCCTGTGTAAGATGGTGGCTCGGGCTTTGGGGCCTCGCCGTGCTGACTCAACACCCGGGACCTGTGAGACCCGCGGCCGTCGCTGTCATGGTTCTTTGCTCTCGAGTAGCTCTTTGCGTGTTTCCGCTGGGAGAGCCTTGCTGCGTGGTCAGAATCCTGCGAAATACAAAAAGGCGGCATTGCTCTGAGGAACGGGAATACAGCACTGTGCAAAGGAGAAGCAGAGAACGACGTTTCAGTCCAGCAGTACCTGAGAGATCAACCAGATCTTCCAGGGGATCAGCTTTCTTGAGTCAAGGAACATTTAATACATACCAGTTTGGCGTAGTGGTTAGGAGCTCGGGCTTTGATCTGGGAGAACTGCGTTTGATTCCCTGCGCCTCCACATGCAGCTGCTGGTGTGACCTTGGGTCAGTCACAAGTTCTCTCAGAGCTGTCTCAGCCCCACCTACCTCATAGGGTGTCTGTTGTGGGGAGGGGAAGGGAAAGGAGATTGTAAGCCCCTCTGAGAGAAGGGTGGGGTATGAAGAAGAAGAGGAGATTGGATTTATACCCCGCCATTCACTACCCAAAGGTGTCTCAGAGCAGCTTACAATCTCCTTTCCTTTCCCCTCCCCACAACAGACACCCTGTGAGGACGGTGGGGCTGAGAGAGCTCTTGACAGAAACGGCTCTTTTTCAAGAACAGCTCTTATCAGAACTACTCATCAGAACTTATCCAGCCAGGCGCAAGTGGAGGAGTGGGGAATCAAACCCGGTTCTCCCAGATTAGAAGAAGAGACCTCAGTGGGTGTCTGTTGTGGGGCAGGAGGGGAAAGGAGTTGGTAAGCCGCTCTGAGACTCCTCTGGGTGGTGAAGGGCCATGGGGTATAAATCCAATCTCTTCTCTTCCTCAGATGTCTTCTGCGAAGTGAGCAGTGACTCACCAAAGCTCATAGGTAAAGGTTCCCTTGCTCGAAAGCCAGTCAAATCTGACTCTAGGGTTGCGGTTCTCATCTCCGTTTCAAAGCCGAAGAGCCAGCGCTGTCTGAAGACGTTTCCGTGGTCATGTGGCCGGCATGACCTTGCCATTAATTCTGTTAGTCTCTGAGGTGCTACTTCGAAGTCAGCAGTGACTCACCAAAACTCATACCCTGCCACTAATTTTGTTAGTCTCCGAGGTGCTACTGGACCCGTGCTCTTTTCTAGTTGCCTGCAGTTAAATCTGTGTCCAGAAATGCACACGCTTGGACCACTGAGCCCCCTTTCCTTTTTAATAGCGACGTTAGCAGCCCACCTCGTTGCTCTCCACGGAGCCCTCGCTGCCGATCCCAACCACTCTGGACAGGCTTTCACTGCTGCTGCTGGTGGTGGTAGTCATCCGGATGGTGGCCAAGTTATTAGTGAAGGAGGAATACTCTTCTGGAGAGACAGAATTGGGGTTTATAAGATTATGCATGGGAGGTTTATAAGATTATGCATGGGAAAGAGGAGGTAGAGAAAGAGGTACTTATCTCCCTTTCTCACAATACAAGAACTCGTGGGCACTCCAGGAAATTGCTGAGCGGTCGGGTTAGAACGGATAAGAGGAAATCCTTCTTCACCCAAAGAGTGATTAACACTTGGAATTCACTGCCACAGGAGGTGGTGGCGGCTACAAGCATGGACGGCTTCAAAAGGGAATTAGATAAGCATATGGAGCAGAGGTCCATCAGTGGCTCTTAGCCACAAGGTATAGATAGGGGCTCTGGGGCAAGTGATGCTCTGTCTTCTTGGTGCTTGGGGGGGGGGGGTCAACAGTGGGAGGGCTTCTAATG